CGGCCGCTTGCCCATCGGCGAAGGCTGTACGCGATTTAGTGGAGACCACAGCCTAACCGTAACTTTCAAATCGACTGTATACACAATGTTGACACTCGAGTCTTTTGAGAAAATGATTGATCGCCATTTCAAAGCTGTCCCGGTTCATTAATTTTCGCTTTTCACCTCACTAAATTGAAGCGGAGTTAATGGTTTTTTAACACATTGTTAATGGATATTTCAGTTGGTTCGAGGACCTGGCTAAATTCGACTTTGAACTTGAAGACGTCCTGTTTTCAATTCGAGAAAATCGGGTTAAGTCTTGCTTATATAGTACTAAACAGGGAAATCCTTCTTAAATAAATTCATCATGGTTTGAGAATTCTCACCCCGTTTTATTGTAACTTTATCATGTACATTTGAATACAAATACTTTTAACGGTTTAAGACGAGATTTTTATTCGGTATTTTCATTTATTTCACGACGCGACGTTTTGGATGCTTTTGCGTGGTCACGGAGTTCAAATTAAGTTAACTATATATTAGAGCAACAGCACGGAACTCTGACGATGCCGGTTCAAGTCCTGCCCGAGTCGAAATATTTTTCAATTTATTTTCGATTTTTATATTACGGGTTAAAAATTGTTTTCTTTTAATAATAATAGGTTAATGTAAAAATTTAAAATCTCAGCAAATAGAGATAGTTTTTTCCCTATTAACGGAAATGCTTGTAAAAATAACAGAAGAAGAATATTTTTTTATTCATGCTTTAGAGAGGTGTAAAATTATTATTATATAATAATTTATATTATCATAAGTCAATATGAATCAAACACTAATATGTACATCAACTAAACTAAATAAATAAATTCACTACACTCGCCACCGTGTCCTCTTGTTCAAAAATCCTAACACGTGGTTACTTTATCCAATCGTTTAATTGTCATTTCGATATGTCAATAATAGTAATTATTTACACCAATAGATGGAGCCTTTACCAATATCTGTGCAAGACATTAAAAACTCCTTTGTTTCAGGTAAATGGGAACTTGGCTGGATCCTCTGTGATATATGGATAAGCCTGGACATTCTGCTGTGCACGGCTTCCATTCTTTCACTGTGCGCAATCAGCATAGACAGATACTTGGCTGTCACACGTCCCCTGACCTATTCCAGGAGACGAAGGTCCAAGAAATTGGCGTTGACCATGATCCTGTTCGTGTGGATAGCGGCTGGCGCGATTACTTGCCCGCCTATGCTTGGCTGGTACATAACTGTTGTAAATTAAAAATCTATCTATTAAAAAAATTACTTGTGCGGGACTTGAACCGGCATCATGCTAGTACCGATGGCTTTTAAGAATTCCACAATGACATGTACTAAATTAGCGTCATTTTTAACAAGTGAATTTTGATACATAATCCAATTTTAATAAATTGACCTAAAGTTTTACAAATAAAAATGAATCTATAATATTATACAAACATTTTTGTAATAATAAAAAAGGTTACTGTGTTACATTCTGCCTATTTATGATTGGAGCTTAGGTTGTGCGCAAAAACTCTTATACTATAAAAATTTTAAAAGTCTATATAATCTTATTTTACATGCCATACACATTATTGTTACATAATAAATATGGAAATGTAACATTCTAATACATGACTTTCCGATGACTTTCACAAAAACATACCGACAACGAGGAAAATAATTTTTCCGGCTCTCTATGCGGGATTACAAAAATATTGATAATACAAAGTACTCCATTGTCGGCGTATTATATCGGATATCGGAATGTAATTTGTCAAATATTGTTCTTCGTGGGCGTAGATTGAACTAGAACTGAGCCTAAATATAATTCAATATCAATCTTTGTCTCCTTGCATATGTATTATAATAAACAAATATATCTCGCGTTCTAGACCGTTAACAATCCTTTTTTAAGGTAGAGAACTGAAAACCACGGGGCTCACTTGAGGGTAGGTGAAATACCCCAGTCATATGACATCTTTAACGGTTTCAAACGCGATATATTAGTTAAACTTATTTGAAAATGATTTTAACTTCGGCCCGACGTTTCAAATAAGTTTAACTAATATATCGCGTTTTAAACCGTTCAAGTGTTTTATTTAAATGTGTACCACTCGCGTAAACTATAGACAGTATTTAGTTCGCTATTCACTAGCCATACATTGCTACCATTAGGTACACGAAAGAGTTCTTCGAATTTATTTTTCTTTTTTTGCAACTTGTCTCAATGCTGTCGTTCTGTGGCTTGTATGGAGTTTCTTATTTATATCTCTGATTGTTGAAACAGGTACGAACCAGACCACAACCAAGGCGGTGTGTGCAGGTACAATCAGAACGCGGGCTATGTCGTCTTCTCCGCCATGGGCTCATTCTTCCTGCCTATGATCGTCATGGTGTACGTTTACGCCAGGATATCATGTGTCGTCGCCAGACGTCACCAACAGTTGGCAAGTACAGCTAATAAGTGTACTAAGGTAAGTAAGTGGTTTGGGGGCGAGTTTCGCGGTCGTAGATTTTGTTCCAATTTTAAATGTTTGTTTCAAAATACTTATGTCAATTGTCTTGGTAGGTTCGAAATTTAAAATATTTAAGTTTTAATTTGTACAAAAAAAATTACTTAACTGTATATCAGAAATGTGTCTGCTTAAGTACTGTCTGTAGTTTACACAAGTAGTACACATTTAAATTAAACAATTTTAACGGTTCAGGACGCGAACTATATGAGTTAATTTCTTTGCATTATAATTTAACTATGGCCAGACAATTCGGATGCTGCTGTAGCTGAGACGTAATGGCGAAGAGGGAAGGTGTCCCGAATGTCAAACCGTTGTAATAAATTCCAGACAACAAAACTTTTATTTAGCATTCGCAGGCAATAACATTATTTTTATATTACTAAATAAATACGTTATATCTATTAAACAGCGTATTTGGATAAGCTCTTCAAAATAATATTTATTCGGTATTATGCCGATTGAGTATAATTTAATTGTATATTTTGTAGTCCAAAGCGCGGCCCATTTCCTCAATGATTAAATTTTATGAAAATCGCGTTTTCCGTTCGTTTCAATGAATATCGATACAACAGTTGACAATTTTGTATTCTATTATTTCAATAAAACACTTCTCACAGTTTAAAACGTGAAACATATTAGGTAAATAATACAATATATGTTAATTACGGCCCGACGTTTTGTATACTTTGCTGTGAAAATAAGTTAACTAAAATATTTTGCGTTTTATCAACAATCTTTAAAATAAAAATTTAAGTGTACAGCATAAATTACAGACAATATTACATTATTCATATTCGCGCGTGACTTTAGGTAAAAGTTTAAGTCACTAAAAAACTTACCGCCACTTTTCTATTCTGAATCTGTATCTCTGATCAATTTAAGGACTAGAAGTTGATCAATCGCCCCCTGCCCCTGTCCCTACAATACTGCTTATGATATTATCCCGATATTCAAACCTAGAACTGTCGCGTTTAAGAAAAAGCTATTAAGTTTTATAATATAAAGGTATAACATACTATTCACGACAAACAAAAAAACTTTCACTGTTGAGAATTGTAGGTAGTTTGAAAATCGAGATATATCTCAGCAAATTCATAGTAGGGGCTTGCACGCGGCGACGCCTCATTTATCATGAAAGAAAAATGACGACATGCAAAATGTTCTTACCCGAGTTCTACCCGTAGCTGCAATATCTTAGGAATAATCCACATATTGTTCCAGAAAGGCCATTTGTCTTGTATACGGACGGAATCCGATTCGGGTTCCGACAAATTATCACTGCGGCAAAGTGCATCCAAGCAAACTTCGAAGGCGTCGAAGCACAGTGATTCCACTGAACACAGGTTTGTTTCTTGTTCGCTAGTTTTAGCGTATTAATGTAGAAATAGACAACATATACAAGTAGAATTGCAAATAAAATATTACTAAATACGTGTAAAATAATACAAAATACAGTTGCCTCGGCCACGTTGAGACTAATCTTCCAACTGTTGACTGTGAACTGTGATTCGGGGCCCCACCAGTGGCCGTTAACAAACGAGAGAATTTACAAAATATCCTTTTCAAAAACTTAAAAATTATTTAGAATCGTCAAAAAATTTTTTGTTTTAATTGATATTGTCAATTAATGTTTCACACAAACACTTAACAACAAAATTACAAGTACCGCTTAGACTCACTAGAAGATAATACAGTGTTTCTGGCGGGACTTGAACGGGCATCCACGGCGTTCCGTGCTGTCGTTATCACTACTTGATGCGTTCAAAAAATCGACAATGACGTGTTGTTGTTCCGTGCTGTTAAGCTAGCATACGCTAACTGAACAGCACGGTACGCTGTGTTACGCTTTATTTAAAAAATACAAAAGATTTTTAATTTACGACAGCCTAGTTCTTACTCACCTTTTGTTTATTTATAAGATATAACATTTCTTTTGTAATTAGAAGAATGCTAGTTCACTATCACGACTCTAAATCTAACACAAATAAATCTAACGAAAATACATATATGAAATGTTTGTAATTGTATTTGAAATACTTGTTCTTTTTTGACAGGTGTCCATGTTGCTTTCGCACAGAAAAGAGACAAAAGTACAAGAAAGACAAGGAGAGAGAATCCAAGTTCTCGAACGAGTTCAAAGCGAATTATAAGTACAGGAGCTCAAGGCGTACTCACTCGATTCGAGATCACGAGAACAATCGTGTGTCCTCGCTTCGAAGGGAGACGAAAACCGCACAAACTTTGAGTCTCGTGGTAGGGGGCTTTGTGGCTTGCTGGCTCCCTTTCTTCTTGTATTACTTGATGACGCCGTTCATACCCAGTGATTATGTTTACCCAGTGCTAATGTGTATATTGACTTGGCTAGGCTGGTTTAATTCCGCGATAAATCCGTTCATTTACGCGTTCTATTCGCCCGATTTTAGATTAGCGTTTTGGAGGCTCACTATTAAGAAATGTAAGAGGAATAAGCATTAAATAATTTAAGACTTAATTAAGACACTTGTAACGGTTTAAAATTCGAACTGATCATCATCTTCATCAATGGCTGTAACCCCTGGCCTCTAGCTTCTTCTAGTCACTTTCACGACTGCAATGTATCCTGTGCTTCCACATTCAAGTTCTGGTCACCAAACATTTCCAGTTTCTCCAAAAAAAATAAAAAAATCACAAATTGTGTACCACTCAAGTGACATCTGATTGTTTATTTTATATAATTTTAGGTATAAAAGTGAAAATTATTATGACACAAGAATTACACTTAATTATTTTCTTGTCATACGTGGACATCTCTTAGTTAAGCCAAATATAATTTTATCTTCGCTCATATATTTTCGTAACAGCGACTTTTGAATGCGTTTTAGCTGTATTGTTTTCCCTAGTCATTTATCTTATTGCTTTTCTGTAATTACAATGGTGTTTTGTTATTCGTTTTTGTAGGCTTGTGTTTGTGAAATGGCATATGCACTGAAGTCTGCCTTCGACCAATGTCTCAAAAAATAAAATATATATTATAATTATAATGCTTAAATATTATCAGCGTAAAAAGAGATATAATAGACAAAAATGTTTATGGTTTCTAATTCTTTATTTTATAAGCGATAGTGCAGAGGAATATACTTTGAGGGGCTAACAATCGACGGGTCGTGGGTTGGGACCCCACCGGGTCCAAGGTGTTTCAAATTTTTCAATTTATAATTGATCTGAAAAATTTTGGATTTCTGGAAATCTGGATATTAAATGGGTGATAGGAATATCGAAATCCCGTTCTGATCACGAACCACTCTCCACAGATGAAGAAGCTTAATTAATGCCTTTTCGGTTTCATTCTGTTCATTTCCGAATATCCAAAGTCAAAATAGCTTGACAGCGTATATTGTTTAGACTCTATCGGATAGGGTATTTGACCTACCATCAAATTTTTTATTTTTAAAAATGCATCTTATATCTTAGCATACAAATATGTATGTGACCAAGTAATTATATTATTTATTTCTTTAGCCTTTTTCAACCTCAGCTAATGACTAGGAACTAATGAGGAATGAGCTGAAAAGAAATGAGGTAACGAACGAAATGAAAGGTTTAGTCTAATCCAATGAATGGGGCAGAAGGGGTAATTCAAGCAAAAAATGTGCAACAATTCGAGACGTAAAAACGTCAGGAATTTTTGAAAAAAATGACAGAAATTCATGTTAACTAACTGATCCGGCAAACGTTGTTTTGTTGTTTGCAAGATCAACATTATTATAATTATACAACTCTAACGAATAATTGGTAATGCATTACCAGCTTAGCTTTAAAACCTATTTACAAATTGAGCATTTCGATGGCGCCTGAAGTAGCTGTAAAGCTGTGGCACAGGAGCCAGCGCCCACCTCCGTATGATAAGATAAGTTAAACTAATTACTATTGACATTCTTCTAAACTACTATTTGGTACAATTAAAGTAAGTTACTGTAAAACAATCTACGTGCTTAAAAGGATTTTATTTTTGAGTGTGTGTGTGTGTTTGTGAGTATTTCATAGAAATACTTATTGGTAGACCCTCAAGAGACTTTCGGTTTAATTAAATTTAATTAATTTTATTATACAACCAAGTGGACATAAATGAGAAGTGTTGGGAAGCAATTAATTTCAACTTAATTCTATTACCATACATAAATTAAAAATAATAATTTTCCCTCTTTTCTCTATATTTTCCATTGTTTCTGCGCTTCTATTGATCATAACGTTATGTTATATAGCCTCTTTGATAATCTCCTTGATTGATCCTCTTCTTAATATAAGTTAAAACGTCCGTTAATCGAAAATTGTACGACATAATTCCTAAAATATTCGAAGAAAAATGTAAAGATGATTTTGATTGAGAACCCAGTGGGAATCGAAGCCACGAACAGGTATCAGTGATATATATTGCTATCACTGTTTTGGGCATCTATTGTTTTTAAAATATGATTCCAAGTATTTAATATGTTGAGGCCGCCCGCCCTATTCAAATCTGGGTGTTTCTTGATTTCAATTTTTTCTCGTACTTAGAAGCGAAGGTAACATACTTGGAAGCGAAGCGATATCACGTTATGAACCGTTAAAAGTGTTTTATACATATAAGCGTATTACTCGTGTAAACTATAGACAATGTGTATAATCTTTACACATTTTTGAATACGTTAATTTTGGTTATTATAGTCAAAGACTCTAATTGTATTAAATAAAAACATTAATTTATAACTTTAAGTTTAATTAAGAATAATTTAATGCGGCTGTGAGTCTCTAGTTTACATGAGTTATAATATTGTACATACAATGAATAGCATAATCGTATGAGCAAATTTTAAAATTAAATAACAACTATGAAATATATATAAATATAATGTAAGTAACATTTAAAGGTCTGTCCAAGACCTTGTCATTTAAACGATGTTAATTAATGATAATTGTCTTCAGTATTATTAGCGAAGTTTTTCAGGAAATTTTCAGAACAATATCAGTTATAAGACGGTTCGTTCCTTTAATGGTAGCAATGTATGACTTTTATATAGGTCGTTGGTTCAATTCGGACTAGGTACAACATTTAAGAATGTTAGGCCCAATTTAAAAATGGGATTTTAATAGCGTAAGTATAAAGAAACAAAGGTATTCAGTATTCATCTAATGTGACAGTGGGTTCAAATCCTTGGGAAAGTTTTCTAGTTACACTTGTGCGGACATTTTTTCTACATTAATACTAGTTGTACTTATAAAATAAAATACTTTAAACTGTATGTATTTAAACGCGAAATAAATATGTTTATTATTTGTAAATATGATGTCAAATTTCCTTTTTTCCTTTAAGTTACTGAAAGACGTAGTGACGGGTCGTAGTTAAAATAACTCTACTTCGATTTATATTTCGCGTTTTTAAATTTGGAAAATTATCACCAGACTCTTATTTTCATTTATCATATTACATACTATATGCCAATAAAATTAAATTAAAGTTCTGAAAATTTCCTGAAACCTGAAAATTGTATAAATTAGTTGATAAATGTTTAAGATAAAGTTTGATATCGATTAGTTTTTATAGTTTTTCAGTCTGTGACTGATGTCTTGTGATATGTAAATTAAACGGTTAAATAATATATAAAAAATTAAACTAAGTAATGGATCTTTTCTTTTACACGTTATATTTGAATTTGAATCAATTAGATCCCCGTAGCTAAATGTTGTTTCGGGTTCGAATGCCGGGTTATGATTACTGATTAGATTTTCATAGTTGGGCACAAAAAAATAAAATGAAAAGAAATTAACATTATACAAATTACGTAAAAGTACCTACGTACTTTGGTTTAGGTAAAATGAAATGCTTTAACGGTTTTTTATAACTAGCTGTGTCCGCGTAGACTAGTTACTACAAGCATGAAAATAAATAAAATTGTTTTTATAACCCTCCTCTTTCTGTTTATAAATTGACACCCATGTCATCGGTCGCTTCCCGTCGATAATCTAAAAAGATAGACATAGTGTCGCGGACATCATTCTTTGATACATATTTTTTTGATATCCTAAACCGTTTTCGCAGCGTGCGCATCGGAGACCCATAAAGATGAATAGTACTGCCTATAGTTTACGCGAGTAGTACACATTTAAATAAAACACTTTAACGGTTTAAAACGCGACATATTAGTTAAACTTATTTGAAAATGATTTTTAACTTCGGCCCGACGTTTCGGTTGCTTTGCAGCAGCCGTGGTCACGGGGAGACCGAATAAGTTTAACAAATATATCGCGTTTTAAACCGTTAAAGTGTTATATTTAAAAGATGAATCATTTTATCTGTTTATCCACATTTTCCGTTGTTCCTTAGCTCCTAGTTACAGTGCGCTATAATTACGAGTATGTATTACTTACTAGTATTTTATCGTGTGAAGTCAGCTATTTTTGGTTAAAAATTATGTTATAACAGCCTCCATGTCTGTTTTTTCTGTTACCCCGATTGTGGAATTTAAATTCCACTTCCATAAAGGACGCGTCCATTCCGCGAGAAATGGGGCGAATATTTCTCGTGATTGTCAGACACAGCTGAGTGTAACGGCTATTTTGTTTCTAAAGTTTTACCCGACGGTTTTACAATTACCATTTTTTTTTATATTCGCCTCTGTCCTTAACTATGGGAAGGGGAGGAAAACTTCCTGAATTTCACTGTACATTTATTTCAAGGGTAGGTAAGTAACATACAAGATAAAATAGGGATTTTAAATATTTCTTTTACGTTTGAAATGAATAAAAAGACCCGACAACTGATCATTCAACTCTAACTCTATTAATTTCTCGTGTTTTAATCAGTTACAGAATGTCGACGATAATTAGCATCTATTTTCGGTTTACATAGAAGTGGTTTTATTTTTTAAATAAAAGGAGGACATGAAAAACATCGGATTACTTGGTTGCAGATGAAAGACTCTCGCCATATAACATTTAAGCAGAATGGGCTGTCGACTTATTTTGGCTTTGAATATTCGGAAATCTGCAGATTGAAATCGAAACGTAATTAAACTTCTCGTCGAGCAAGTCTAACTTCGGCCTGCTGTTAAAATATCGCTCGCTATCTGACAATAGCTTTATGCAAACGTGTCACAGATATCATAGCCAGATGTCCGTCCCGATAGACAGGGGTTAATATCCTGTCATAAAATGTCACTAACAAGTGACGCCCTCATGAAGACAATGCTAATTCGATTTTCGGGGCTCATGCTTCAATTCCATATCATGAAGTATTATCCGTAGTCCACGAGAGTAGAACAGTTTTTTTTAAATACTGTCTATAGTTTACTCGAGTAGTACACATTTAAATAAAACACTTTAACGGTTTAAAGCGTGATATATTAGTTCTGTCTCCCCGTGACCACGGCTGCTGCAAAATTTTTAAATTTTAAATGTATCAAAATTAAATTTTGTTTATCTTAAACCCGAAAAATTACTTATTTTTATTTTCCTCTTTA